CCTCCTCGCCCTCCTCCCCCCCTCGCTCCCATCACCCCCTCATCTTCCTCAGCCTCCTCATCTTCCTCAGCCTCCTCGCCCTCCTCACCCCCTCGCCCTCCTCACCCCCCTCACCCCCCTCATCTTCCTCAGCCTCCTCGCCCTCCTCATCTTCCTCGCCCTCCTCATCTTCCTCGCCCTCCTCATTCTCCACAACCTCCTCATCTTCCTCAGTCTCCTCGCTCTCCTCGCCCTCCATCATCTCAAAAAGTTCAGCATTTCAGGAATAGAAAAATATTTTCACCAGAAGGAAAGAAACTGAAATCGTTGTTTGGGGATCACTACGTGTGATCGGCGTAGAGGGGAGGAGTTAATCAGCCGTGCTCTGCCGTTCAGCGTGGACTCACCAGGGGAGGGTCAGTGACCTCCTGCTCCCAGTCCGATAAAAAGGGGAGGCTGCGTCAGGAGGAAGAACAGCACAAAACTGCGGTGCTGCAGAAGAATATGTGGGTGGTGCAGGATGTGGGTGGGAACAGAGACGCGTGAAGTGGGTGGAGATGAGTGTCAGGGCTGCAGGGGTGAAAGAAAGATTTGAAGATGGCGGCGAGAGCTGCTGCGAGGGATGGTTGGAGACGGTGGAGCCCGAGGTGGCGGTGTTCACCTTCATGACCCGCTGCAGGACCAACACGTGAAAGGGCCGGCCTCGTCCAGGTGCATCATGGGACTGTGATGTCCTGCTGTTTCATATTCAAACACTCTTACAGACTCTGCAGAGCGGCGCTGATTTCAACAGTGAGCGCCCCCCGCCATGGCGGCAGTGCAGCTGTGGGAGGAGCCAGTGGTGATGCATGCGCTGATAAGGATTCAGGTGGGAACACCTGGAGCTTAGTTTAAGAGTTGAATTTCCTGCTGCTGAATGGAAATAACTGAGCTGTAGTCTGCTCCGAGGAAGCCGCCCTCCTCCTCCAATCAGCCGAGTGCTGTTTTCACCGCACTCATCAGTCACCACTTTGAAAGGTCAGAGGTCATTGATTATTTCTTCAGGTCTCAATGATGCCGCAGGTGGAAAAGCTCGTTATGAAGACAGGAGCCCTCCAATCACAGAGTTGCTAGTCTGCATCAGTATTTTATCCTGATTTGTTCTAGAACCACATAAACCAGATCAGAGATGCCGATCTGAGGTCCAGGAGGGGGCGATGCCTCTGAAGCCTGATTGGACCGAAGTCTATGCGGCGATGATCCTCCATGTTCTATCCTGATGGGTTTCTGGTCTCGGTCGCTGTTTCAGGTCTGACTGAAGAAAACAGGAAGTTCAGGTTGGAGCAGAAGCAGGAAGCAGGGCGAGGGCTACCTGTGATCGATAAGAGCGCAGACGTGTGTCATGGTAACATGGCGAACGAGGCTTTAACAATGTCGTTGTACATGAACAATGAAAATAAAGATTATTCAATTGTGTTTAAAGGGGAAGAGCTAAAAGCTGCTTGTTTCAGACAGCACACGAGCTGAGACACAGGATCAGACAAAGAAGGATTATTTCTGACAAAGATAATGTAAAGCTGCTCTAACAGTGCAGAAGGGAAAAGAGCTGGAAATGAGCAGAACACCTTCACATTTGTCATCATTACGATTAATGAGCAGGATCGCAGATCTGAAAGGTTCTCTGAGGAGAACCAGTTTAAGAACCAGAGCTGAGCAAAAGCATCAGCTATGTTAGCAGCGCAGCATGCAGCTCCTCCCGTGTCAGGTTAGCTAAACGGCTAACGAGGACGATGAGAACAGGAGGGAGCGACGAGAACGAAGTGAGGCGTCTGCATCATGTCACGTGTCACTGAAGGTCGCTGTTGTTGACTTTTGGTATGTTGCTCTTTGTTTTCTTCCAGGGGAACATCGTGGCCATCAAATACATCAACAAGAAACGCATCGAGCTCAACAGGAAGGTGCTGTTTGAGCTCAAACACGTGAGTGTCTGACACGTCACACGTGACCATTAGCACCGGCTAAGCTAACAGCTCAGAGTGGCTAAGCGAACGGGAACATTTACTGTCTGCTTCCTGTTCAGGACCAGGCTCACCAGTACAGTACAGCAGCCAGCATGAGCTGCTCCCAGCAGGGTCAGTGCAGCTACAGTGGGGCCTTCATCATCCAAACATCCATTCATTTATTTCTCCCAGTTTACCCAGTTCAGGGTAAACATGGTTTGGTCATTTTAATCCATACACTGCACACATTCAAGAAAATGTAATATTCAGCTAATTAAAAACAGACGATCTGTGTGACATGTTCTCAGGCCACACGTGGTTCCACGGTCAACTTCCTGTTATTCTTCTCCAGACTTGAGCTTCTGGATTTACATCACTGATGTAACGACCTGAACGATGTCCGGGTCAGGGTAATTCTAGGCTTCATGGTCTGGACCTGGACCTGGTCTGAGGAGGTCTGATGGGCAACACTGTGAAATGTCCCTTCAGTCCAGGGGTCCTGCTTGTATGTTGATGTGAAGAAATCTAAAGCAGTTTGGCTTTTCTGTCGGAGAGGGTTTGTTTGTTGTTGCGTGAAATGTTAAAATAATTTCTCAAAATGATTGAATATGAAACCAACATGAGCAGAGAGCACAAACGTGAGGCTGTGTCAGCTCGGTGACACGGGCACACTGACGTCTTTATTTTGTTACATATGAACACAGCGCTGCCACGTGTTGGACGCACAGAGAGGACTTCCTGAACGCTGAAGTGTCCAATGAGACGCCAGCTTTACTCTGTTTCCACAGTGGGCGTCACCGAGGGCGGAGTCATGCTCCCCGTGTTTTCCTGTGAATTCAGCCTTTGAATGTTTCCGTCTGTGCAGATGAGAGACGTCCAGAACGAACACCTGACCAGGTTCATTGGAGCGTGCATCGACCCCCCCAACTGCTGCATCATCACAGAGTACTGCTCCAGAGGCAGTCTGCAGGTACGGCTTTAAGGGTGGGGGTCAGGGTGACGGCGTCACGGCTGGTGCTGAGGAGATCTCGCCAAGGTCACCGCTGACAGGTTATTGGTTGTTTGTGTGTTCAGGACATCTTGGAGAACGACAGCATCACTCTGGACTGGATGTTTAAATATTCCCTCATTAACGACATCGTAAAGGTACGTTTCCATTTCCTGCAGAGTCTCTGCTTCGTTAAGTTTCTGCTTCCTGGACTGAAGCTCGTTAACGGCAGTTTCAGGGAGTGGAGTCGACGCAATGCATGTGGGACTCATCAAAGTGAAAGTACGAGGAGGAAGTGAGCAGGTTAACGAGGACAGAGGAGTCAAAGTTAGAGAGCTTTGGGGTCCCCGGTGTCTGATTGGATGATGGCAGGACTCAAAGTGAAGACAACAGTAATAAGTTACCTCCAGGTGGCGTTACCTGTGATAACAAACATGTTGTCAGTGCTGTCCTCCTCTCTGTGTCTGCAGGGCATGCTTTTCCTCCACAACAGTGTCATCTTCTCCCACGGTAAACTCAAGTCCTCCAACTGCGTCGTGGATAACCGCTTCGTCCTGAAGATCACCGACTACGGTTTGTCCAGCTTTCGGTCTGAGAGCGACGCAGCTAGCGACGCTCACGCCTACTACGCCCGTGA